AGAAAAACAAAGAAAAAAGTCGAAAAAAAGTTGAAAAACTTTTGGAATTTTTCCAAATTTTTATTGGTCCCGACACGAGATCAAGAGAGAGGGAAAAAATAAAAATTCAAAAAATACGACGCTGAGTGTCATAACTTCGCCTCCCCCTAGGGATCTGGTCACGTACGACCGTGAAACGTGGAAAATTGCACGTACTTATCAACTTCCGCGCCGTACATCGTACGACGAGATACTTCAGGAGTAACTTTCAGACAGAATATCTTTCGTTATCATGAACCAAATGAAGAGAGCTTACCATATTTGGAAAAAGCGTAAAAATCTGAATCGAACGAATGTACGAAAGATCACATTGTTCAATACCTATAGAAATCATAAGTGATCATATTCAGGAACCATTTAGCACAACTTTTTACTATAAGTTCAAGAAGAAAATTTCATAAAGCAGATGAAGGTTAATAAAACATAATTTTGAGCTACTTGTCTTATTAGCATATCTGGAGTAATCTCCCGCCTATTGATCGACATCCGGTTTGAATAATATCTGGTACTTCGATCAATTTCAGCTCTTCTTCCTTGGAAACAAATGAGTTGCTCAGCAAATGATATTCACACTAACGATCAAGCCATCATTCAAACTTTCATCTTTCCTTGTTCAGCTTTCATTGCTGGATTGATTCTCGATGAAGTAAGCTCTTCTCGTCGTTTAAGCAAAATGATCTTGTAGGTTAACAAACGCTTGAAATTTCTTGGTTTTCCTGACAGTGTTGTACAGTTTGTCTTCGCCATGTGTTGCAGGTAATGAAAGATCTTACGTAAACTTAAACTTGAACTCAGCTTCATGCTCAACAAATTTCTGCCCATAGAAATAACTCGAAGAATAGATCAAGCTTATTCGTGGATCACCTTGGACCCGCAAACAATTTTGATGGTGATTTCATCCTTATGAACAGATATGTTAAACTCTTTTCTAGCTCATGCTACCGCCTCTCATTTTTGATTCGGCTTTTCGAATAAATTCACATCAATTCTTCTCCAAAATCAAGATGCTAGTCTCTTTAACAGTATTCATCTATCTAGGAACGTTACTCTTATCCTCTGCGTTGATGATGCCATTGTTAACGTCCACACAGAATCTTTCTGTTTCTGCTGTTGGTTTATAAAACGAGTTAACACAACCTCTGATATTCAGGTCTTTCTCTTTGTTTCTATTATTGTGGCAACTGATCCAGTCGCGGTGGTAGCAATGCTTGAAGAGTTTGGAGCACCGCATAGGTGAGTCTGAACTGTTTCAATATCATAATAATACCTTACGCAGGCTTCGGTTAATGATTGAAGGAGAAAGCTTACTGAACGATGGCCTTGCTTTAACAATATATCGGGCACTTTTAGAAGCTTTTCGGGTAACCAAACGCTCGCTTCTCCATAAGCAAGTCTGTTCAGTACGAAACGTCTGGCCACGGGATGCATATCTTTCCCCTAATATTCTCCTTCTTCATGTGCTTCATTGTGTCTCCAATCTTGGGCATATACGGAGCGTACATTCTTGCTAAAATACTCGGGAAAATAAAGGAAATTAAAAAGAAACAAGTACGATTTACTCATATTCTTGTAGGCTTACTCCTTTACAGGCGCTCATCTTGTCTTCTGTTTTCACAATGTTCATTCTATGCGATAAGATCGAAGGCTCTCCAGCTTTGGGTATAATGTTCTTTGGAGTCACTTTGAACTATAATAAGTTTGTTGAAAGTAGTGAACAAACCAATTTTATCCTTTTCAGGGAAGTAATGTCACCCGAAACCTCACAAGTAGCCCTAGAAGTCTGGCAGTCTTTAGGATATTGGGCGAATAACGTAATTTTCTCCTATGCTGGCTATCTTATTGGCAAAGAGATGTTTTCTACATCAGTAATCTCTCCGCATACTACAGAAGCTAATGAAAATAGATTACTTTAGTGTGTTAATGAAAACTCTTACGCTGAGATCGCTAGCAATGACGTCTTCACTCTTATCCAAGGTGTGCTCATCTTTCCTATTCCCTTGTTTGGCAGGATTATTTCCATCTATTTCTACTACAAGGTTATTTGCAGCAATGATTCTGTAAAACTTCAGTTTAGGTTTATCCTTGCTTCAGCAACCACCGCCCGTCTAAGTCAGATTTCGTACTCTTAGCGTACTCAGGGTTAAGAGGAGCTCTAGGGTTACTGTTAGCGATGGAACTCACAAGAGAAGTAAAGAAAAAGTTTGATTGTTCGAACTTCTTTCTTCAGGAAGACCTGGGAGAACCTAATGAGAGCAAAGTCATTCTACTTCTAGTCTGTTCCACAACTGTAACGTCTCTAGTGTTCCAAGTATACTTCCTCCTTCATACGATAGTTTACGCCGACTGTTTAGGGAGTGTCATATAGAATCATTGTGGCACGAGAAGGAACTACAAAACGCTCCCGTTATGTCAAAGAAACTTGCTCACGATTCAACACACATATTGAGAAAGAAGTTAACCACTTCATTGAATCCTATTCACCTCTTGTTTCAGTTCTTGAAAAAATTCTACGCTGTAAAAAGAGATAATTATGAAGAACACGTGGGAACTAACTGGGCAGTTGCTGAAAACGAAATCTTCAACTCCTTGAAGTTGGATTCATCCGTAAGTATAACAGATCCCTGAAAACAAAAGGAACCTAATATTATAGAAAAAATCAGAGAGCGACGCTGAGAATAACTCTTGGCAAGACTCTGTTGTAGCAGATGCACGGAGGATTAAACAAGCTGATGCTACAGACGCTAAAATAGGACTTTATGGAAAGCTTCTGGCTAGAGTTAAGACTGAGCTTCTTCTAAGTTTCATTTTACTATTAGGCTTACGAATATTGGCAACAAGGAGCTGTTTCTGGCAATACTATGCATATTCTGACAGCAGTATTGGAGCACGGTATCGATGAAGGAGATATTGCTCTGTCTAATATAGAAGGTAATAGCTTCTGGAACTCACAAACAAATAGATTTCAGATCAGCTGTCCACTGTAGATCCGGCGTGGTTTGTGAAGCTGTTCAGCAAGAGCATAGAATGTATATACGTAAGGCTTTCAATACATTCTAATTCTGAACTCAAAAACAGTTAAAACTTGAACAAATGCTTTGCCGAGAATATCTCAGCTTCTGTACTGTTGGCAAGCATAAGCTCTTCCCCGAAGCGAAACCGATTGAAAGAATCATCAAACGACCAATTGAGAAGTTCTTAACTATGAATTCAGAGTCGCTTGTAATGATATTCTAGATGGTGGGTTTTCCACACAGCAGCAGTTTGTTTATACACTGGAATAGTTGCTTGGTCTTTTCATGTTGCTGTGAGTAAAATGAGCTCTTACCTCTCCGTGAGTTCTAATTCAGACGTTACCATCCATCAGCATTTATCTTGCAAACTTCTGGATTCTATGGCTCACTTGTGTAATTGAAGCAGTTTACCTAGGACATTTCTCATATCAGAACAGAAAAACTCGCTCAATGTATTATGTAGGTTTGATAGCTCGTGTGTTTCACATTACCTGTTATAGGATCTCTCACCGGTTATACTGCTAGTAGCTTTCACTACTCTCGCTTTCGTAGCAGCATTCATCATTCTCGATGGAGGCAAATGTCTCCCTATCAACCGTGAACCAACACGTAAGTAGTTGCATGGTTGCTTGAGATAACTTGTCATCAACTCGTTCAGCGGTTTGCATGTATTTGAGTAATATTTTCTTCTATTCACTTCTGGCCTCTGGAATGTTTAGACTTTTCCGTGCATTACCAGTCTCTATCATACTTCTTCGAGAAGCATTTCTGAGAAGAAAGGTTGGTTGGTGTAGACTAAGAGCATGTGTTAAAACCTGTTCGTACAGTTACTTGCAGACAGAGTTCGAATGGCCGTTCTCCATTTCTTCCATATAATCCTGAAGGAAACCCAAATATCGCCAGAATTCTACAATGATGAAGCTTACCAAACAGTAATCAGTGAAATTAATCGCTTGACTTTGGTACTGTCTCCGACATCAGATAGAAAGTAAAATTGTCCTATTTAAGATAATAGAAAGTTTCATGCGTTTACACTTTAAAGAGAACAATGATGCGTCCAATGTTCTCCCCGTTATCAAAACTCGGCAGACAGTGCGAATGATGTCTTTCGCGCTAAAAAGTCTTTTGAACGAAATGAAAATGTTAGTTTCTCCTGAACACTAGAACACTTCATTTCAGAGAGGGATACTTCCCCGCAGAGGTTGAAGACAAATGGACGAACGTGGTTGCCAATATGCGTGAGAAAGTAGATGACTTGCTGCTGGTTCCTGCAACACCTGGAACTCTAACACTTTCTCACAAGAGTTCAGCTGAGTCTGATCACAACTCAAGGATAGCTGCAAATAATAAACCATAAAGTATAATAAATGCTTTCTTCATCTTGTGAAGATCACGTTGAGACATACGAGCATAGTATCTTCAAACTTACACACACCGGTAGATAAACGAGAACGTTTGAATGCCACATTCAAGCATAATGACTTCAAAACTTCACAAAATACTATTATGTTGAAGGATCTTGCAAAATTAGAGCAAAGGCAGCAGATTGCGAAACAGTAAACCAATTAATGAACACTGGATATGTCATAGAAAAACAGAGGAGGGGAGGGTATGGTTTACAGTGAAGGCAGTCGACATGATGATGGGTCATCTGAACTGATGCAACATATCAGTAAGATTTCTCATACAAAAGGAAATAAGAAGGGAGAGCACTATTAACTAAGATATGAATGTAATGGAAGCTCTTCAGTTAGTTATCGCCAAATCGATTTCTACTGAATCGTTCCTTCCGTCAACTTCTTAGGAAACCACGCGATGAATCAAAAATATATTTATTACACAATAAAAATCTGGAAAAAAAACACAAAAAGTATTGACAAGTTCCGTAAAAATGATTGGAAAGTAAGCTAAGCAGTTCGTTATTATCACCCATTATGTATGATGAAGAAGTTAAGAGTCGTACTTCTTGATGTATCCCAAAAGTTCTTCTACATCGTCTTTTGATCCGAGGTAGATTGGAGCACGTTGATGGATCTGGAAAATCAGTGATATAAAAGGGATCGACATGAAAGAATAGCAGTTGGCTTAATATCGAGGATTGATCCTGTTCTACACTTACAGCAGTTGGCTTAATATCGAGGATTGGTCCTGTTCCACTAGTAGCTAAACCTCCAGCTTGTTCCATGATAAAGGCCATTGGGTTACACTCGTACAAAAGACGAAGCTGAAACCATTATTAGAATCAAAAATTCATAAGTGAAAGAAGCTACCTTTCCATTTGGAGCAGCAGCAGTTGGAGGGTAAAGGAAAATTCCACCATTCAACAAGGTTCTGTGTACATCAGCAACCATGGATCCAACATAACGTTGTCCCATAACTTTCTTTCCTTCCTCAGGGTCCTTTCTTGTACGAATATATTCAGCTAATCCTTTGCTCCATGTCTTGGCATATCCTTCGTTGAGGGAATAGATGGATCCCTTCGACTTACATTTCATATTGGGGTGTGTAAGAATGAACTCTCCAATAGACTGAAACATAACCAGCTTAGAACTCCACTTCAAAAAACTTTACTTACGGGATCAAGAGTGAAACCGTTAACTCCGTCTCCGGTTGAAAGAACAACCATGCAAGCAGACCCATAAAGGGCATAACCTGCTGCAACCATTTCACGTCCAGGGCGAAGAACATCATCAAGAGTTGGCTCGTTGTTAACCTTAAAAACAAATAATATTTTGAGAAGGTTGTTGAGAAAACACCTTTTTGTAGATTCCGAAAATAGTTCCGATTGATACGAGACAATCAATGTTAGATGATCCATCTAAGGGATCAAAGGTAACAATATAGTTTCCGCGTTTCTTTTCCTCGACCTACAATTTGAAGATTTTAACTGTGCACAGTGAGAACACAAAAACCTCAATCAGCTCATCGTTTTCTTCAGAGACAAGTAAACATGTGGTGTAACTGGACTTGAGCATATTGATCATAAGTTCATTGGAAAGAACATCAAGTTTCTTGACTTCTTCTCCTTGAACATTGGTGTTACCAGCAATACCATAGCTATAAATGGCATTGATTCTATGAAAAGAATAAAACAAACTTACAGCTTAGCAAGTCCAGCCTTTTGGGTAGCACTAGCAATAGCTTTCACAGCAGTGAGAAGTGAAGTAAGAAGACTTGAGAAATCTCCAGTAGCGTCAGGATGATTCTTTTGTTCCTGAAGAACAAACCGCTGCAGGGTCATAGAATCGGTAGCGATTCCATATTGTGAGCTGTCAGTCATGGCTGAAAAATTAAAGCTTAAATAAGATTTCCGAATAAGCAAGTGAAGCAAAGTAAGACGAAGAGACTGAGACCAAATGATCAAACGAGTAATCAATCCAATCAATAAGAGATGAATGTAGTTTTGACCTCAAGCAAATCAAATGCAAACCATAAGAGCGAAAGAGCAACATGTGCGAAGCATAATACATAATCGACTGAAGGATTACTACTACAGAAGTTATGTCAATATGGTTTCAGTAGAGAGACCCAAAAGAAACTTTCTCTGGGACAGATCAATTTAAGAGAAAGATAAGAAGAGACCGCTAGCATGCAGGAAAGTAAATTCAGAACTGGTAGACATGAAAATGGCGATAGGGCCGAATGGCAAGCGTGGGGTGAGAAGTTACCCCGACGAATGCCAACGACCTCTACGTCATGATGATACAACTGGTATTTTAGAAAGAGGAAAGGGGGAAAGACGTTTAGGCAGAAACAACGTGGTGTTAATAACGATGATACGTGATAAAAATGATAAAAAAATATATTTTATTCCAACGAATATAACGCCATCCTATATGGCAGCAGCAGGCGAAAGACGATAGTGTTCAAGCGATTTCGGTTTTGAATGGAAAAAAATTTTTATCAATTCAGCCATTATTAGTTGGATTCGTAAAACACAATAACAATAATGATAAGAAGGTTTTATCATAACAATCATTTTCAAATGGCAAATGAAACCTGGCGAACCTTGAATCAACGCATTTGAAAAGAAAAGGTTTGTGTAAGAAACTGATCAATTGATCTCCTACAACGAACAATATGAGGAAAATGGGAAGTCGAGTTTCAAATGATAGTGTGTCTACGTGACAATATGTTGAATCCAACACATTTGAACTTGAGCTTAGATCTGAGTGCATCTTGCACCTCATCTGTTGAGCAACGTGCTTATGGATCATGGCATTTTGATTTTTTCTTTCCTCTTTTTCTCTACCAATCTCTCAAACGTCATGAAGCCTTATAAACCTATGTTCTCATCTTCTCTCTCTTCCTCTCTTTCTCTCTCTACTATCTGTTCTGTTATTTTCATTGATTTTTTGACAATGTATTGGTGAAGAGTTTGCTTCACCTCAAAGAACGATCATATCGGTCGAATCAATCGAAGCAATTGGCTACAATTCCCTACACAGTGAACACAATGACATACGAAAACAATTCATATATCCAGATATATACAAACTTGAAGAAACACCAAACAGCAGTTGATTTCAACAAACTCTTCGTTCTATCGGGTAACGAAAAGCCATGTTCATACTTCCAGCTTCAAAATACTTCTCCACAACGGGTGATCTTGTAACTGCTGAAGGGGGAATACCCAACGTCACTTTTCGGTAACAGGGCTGAAAAAAAGGAAATATCCGTTACACTCTCAAAGCTTACGCGTATCTCATCATCACAATCATGTATGACATTGAAGTTTACATTGACATTCAGAACTCCGTTGCTAGACCCTGATAAGTCAAAATATCCTTGTCTATCAGTGAACGTTGCAGCTATAAGCTTTTCTGATCCTGAAAAGGGATTTGAGTCTCACAGTCCCACATTACGGTAACTAACGAAAGAACGGTTGTTCCATGATCTGAACTGTAGCATTATTGATAGGTGTAGTTCCGCATAGTAAGCGTCCTCGCACTCCAACGGATTGTTGAAGAACAGAGCATGAGGTAGAGCAGACAGATAGAAACATAAGAATGACTGAGAACTTATTATGTCTCATATTCGAAAAGGCATTTAAGTCCTGAACGAGAAGACGTTTCTGGACTCAAGAAGAAGCTCTAGAGAAGGTGAGAATGAGAGCTATTACTCATAATAACAAGAAAAACAAACGATCAAACGAGTTTATTTGATATGTTGAAATCGATCGAAAGAGCTTTCTCAGATATGTTTGAATGGAAAACAAATCAGTTTCCGAAACGATGACTTCTGTGGGACAGGTCAATAGGCAAAAAGAGGTTGAGACTCCATCGAACAGGATAACAAAACATAAAAAATATGAAATTGAGGGTGGATTATCATAAATTTTCAAGTTTTCATATTCCATAACTACGGAAAGATGCGAAATTCAGAAATCAAAAACGATCAATGAGACTGTGAGGATGTAATCCAACAAACCGGAATCACTTTCTGCACAAATAGAAAAGCTTATATTTGTACAGATATTACTAAGATCATACGTCCGACAGGTCTTGACCGATCACGTCAGAAGCCACGTAAACCTTCACGCCTACCACGGGCACTTCATTTTCAAGTTGTGCACTTAGAGAGTGGCTGTGTTCAACACCATGTTCATCACCTCAGCATAATTTCCTTTTTTATAGCAGCAGTCTGAAACAATAACAAATCAATCCATCACAACAACATGCAAAATACTTCACAACAGTTTCTTCGAAAAACGTGAGTGCGCAACTTCCATTATGATTCATACGGGATATGACCTCTGGGGGTTAGGAGGGGGGAATTCGGTGAACATACAACTGGCACCTGAAATAATCAATAACTAAGATTCGGCGTTATGTGATAATAGTATCTAGTAGCTTAATGAAGAATCCGAAAACAAAATCCATGCAGCTTGTATAGCTGCGATTGAGCATGCTTTTGAATCAAACTACACACTCATCCCCAACTTGGTGTGTACAGAGTATCAAATTATAATGCAATCAATGAGTTTATATATCATACACTCTTATCCCATACTTTGGCCATAATGATAAATGAAAAAGAAGTGAACTTGCGCTTGGTTTGAGGTTGAAGCCATCTTCGAGGCGTCTACTTGAGGAGGGTACGGTAAGATGGCGCCACTTTTTGATTTGAACACGACCCTATTAGCATGTCATATTCCATCTGTTCATAGTGTTTTCTTAGGTTAATTTTTGAAAACTAGTAGCATTCAATTATAGATATGGCCCGGGGCGACAAATCGCCAATAAGTGATTCGAGTGAAGATGATTATTTAGGTATTTAAACAATTAATTACCTTATATGTACAGTGTTGTAGAAGAAGAAAGTTTGTCGAAAAAAAGAAAGAAATCTCCATTAAAAAAGAAAGTTCCAGCTAAGAGAGAAAGAAAGGTTTGTTCTAATTATTATCCATTCCTATTACTTTAATCATATAGGAAGTACCCCAAAAAGCTGAAGAAATAGCCAAAAGCATACAAAATGAAAACGGATCTGACGCTGAATTAGATGATGAGTTCAGATTCGCAATTAACGATGATGATCTTCTTAATATGGTGAGTCAAATATTATAAATCATGATTATTCAATTTGTTTTCAAGGAGATACCCCCTAAGCCAGAGCCATGTATGAGAGCTGATGGTACAGGAGCCCGATTGATGATACGAGAAATTATTGCAACTAACTTCAAATCCTATTATGGAAGTCAACGAATAGGTCCTTTTCATAAGGTACGTTTACATTTATAAGTTTCTCTGTTTTATACTATTTAACATAGAATTTCTCTGCTATCATTGGTCCTAATGGTTCAGGTAAAAGTAATGTGATTGATTCCCTTCTTTTTGTGTTCGGTTTCCGGGTTAGTGAACAGTATATTTCTATAATCACTTTCATCATTTAAGGCGAATAAAATTCGTCTGAAAAAATTAGGAGATTTGATTCACAATTCATCTGGAAAAGAAAGACCACGTTTCTGTACCGTCGAAGTCATCTTCCAAAAAATTATCGATACGGTATGTTCTCGCTCAGAGCTTCTTTTCCATTAAAACATTCTTATTAAAGAGCGACGGAGAATTCGAAATCGTTGATGGATCTGTGTTCAGTGTTGCTCGAACTGCTTACAACGATAATACCAGTAAATATACAATTGATGGAAAAGTAATCAAGCTTCCCCTAATTTCTTGAAAATATACCGAATTCAGACACGTTCTATCAAAGATGTGGTCAATAAGCTGAGAGAAGTAGGAATTGATTTAGTCCACAACAGATTCCTCATTCTTCAAGTATTTAACAATCACCCAACTGAATATAATCTTTTATAATAGGGAGAAGTAGAACAGATCGCCATGATGCAGCCAAAAGCAGCTAACCCTAACCAAGAAGGCATGTTGGAATATCTCGAAGATATCATTGGATCGAGTCGCTTCAAAGTGAGTTAATACTCAATGGTCATGTCTATTTATATTCTTCCAGGTACCTATAGATAAACTGGCGGTTAAGCTAGATCAACTGTCAGGTCTTCGTTCCCACCAAACGCAAAAGTATGTATCGTTTCATGGAATTGCATGATATGATCCTTTCAGGGTGAAACAAGCTGACAAAGAAGTTCAAAGTCTTCAACAACCTGTCAGCGAAATGTTAACGTTCTTACGAACAGAAAACAACATTTCTTTATTAAAAAACAAATTATGCTATTTGAAAATGTAAGTTTCTCCCGTATCTCTATCACATGAGTGGATATTTCTAGGCACAAATTCCAACGTGAAGTGGAGAAACGTGATGTTCTACTCGCCGAGTTAAAAACTGAAAAAGCGGAAATCGAAGGAAAGTTGGAAAAGCTTGGAGAAGCTAGAAAAACTTCGGAATTGGAAGTTCAAGCTGTTGAACAGTTAGTTTACAAAACTGAAGAAAAATTATATTTTATCGCAGGGAGAAGAGCGTTCTGATGAAGAACTTGGAAAAAATTCAAGCGATTCTCACCGAATTAGAAGCTAAGGAAACTAGAAGAACGATTGATTTGACTAGAGTTAACAAAGACATTAACAACCTTAAGAAGTCTTCTGACAAAGAACGCGCAGCTGTAAGTTCCATTACAATCATCCGTACTATTCGTTTGTTCAGTTGAAAGAACTCGAAGAAATTCCTGAGAAAGCAGCGGATGAAATTGAGGCTTTGGAGAAAAAAATAGAGAAGTTCGAGAAGATAGTCGCCGAAAATGAAGAGAGGGTATTTTCATTCGCCCAGTACTGGTTAAACTGTAGTATCACAGGCTGATGACAATCGTCCACTCTTTGAGCAGAAAAGTGCTCCTGCACGTGAAAAAAAACAGAAGATTGAGGAGGAGTTTGGTATTAAACAGACTGCCGTCGATGAAATTAGTAGCAAGGTTGGGGATGAAGAAACTGAACATTCACTAATGGAAGATTTAGGCCGCAATCGCGAAACAAGAGTATGAGCTGTCTACTGCCGAAGCCGAGAAAATCAAGAAACGCATTGGAGACATCAACGCTCAATTGGAGTCAAACACGAAAGCGTTTGAGGAAAAGAACCAGTAAGCTTCATCCCACTTATTATCTTTCGAATACTATTCTGACTTGAAGAGACCTCAAAGAAATTCAAACGCAGTTGCCGCAAAAGGAGAAGGAGCTCAGTGAAGAGAGAAAGAGAGTTCCGGTTTTGAAAGCTGAACTTGACAAACTGAATTCTGAAGTAATAACTAGCTAATACCAGTTCCAAGTTCTTTTTTAGGTGCACTCCCTTCGCAGTAAAGTGTCTGAAGAGTCGAACTTCCTTAACTCTAAAGGAGAGGGTAATAGAACCATTAAGTATTTGAAGTCCTGTCAGGAGAAAGGAGAACTCGAAGGCTACTATGGTCGACTGGTAAACAACGCTTGCTTTATTGAAGATCAGCACCACATTTAGGGAGATCTCGGAGCCATTGATCCAATGTATGACGCAGCCATATCTACTACTGTTCCTCAATTGAACTCGCATATTGTTGAAACTAAAGATGGAGCCATGAAATCAATTAATTTGCTCATCAAAGGCGGTATTGGCAGAACGAATTTCATGATTGTGAACCAAGTCGCTAACCAAGTATCTGATAGTCATATGAATCGTCCCGCCAATCACTTGTGAGTTTAGTTCCAATAGACCAGGTTGTTAATCATCCATATTCAGCCCTGCTCCTCGTATGTTTGATCTCATCAAAATTCCTCAAGAAAAAATGAAGAAAGTGTTCTACAGTGCAGTAAGCTTTGATCTTCTCTATATCCATGCAACGGTTTAATCTAGATTCGTGATACCTTGGTTGTGAAAGACTTGGCGGAAGCCAAGAAGATCGCTCAGGAACAAGCATCCAAAGGAAACCGAAGTTAGTCGAACTCGTTAACGTTACAATTGCATTGATTTAGATAAGTATCGCTTCGTTACTTTGAATGGATCTGTCATGGAACATACTGGAGCTATCACTGGAGGAGGAAAACCCAAAAAGTGATACTCAGAAGCAGAGTTAGAAGTTGACCAGTGCATTTCAGGGGCATGATGGGAACTCAGGTGAAGAATATTGATGACGAAAAAAATATTCGCGAGAAACTAACATCAATGAGTAAAGATATCGAAGAGAAGAATGAGCGTATTCAAAAGCTTAATGATGAATCTAGACAGGTTACGGGTTACATTGAGCAGCTCTGATAACTTTCTTTTTCAGGTGGATCAGAACATCTTCCACTGTACTAGTGCTATCAACAAGCTAACTGAGCGAAACAGAACGCTCAAGAACGAAGTTCCGGTAGGAAATTATGAGTCTCCTCTGTTCTTAATATCACCTTTCAGATTTTGAAAGATAAAATCTCAAACTTAGAGAAACAGTTGGAGTTCCAGGTTTGATCATGTAGCGTTCATAATTCATAGTTTAACCTTGCAGAAGAAACAAGCCTCAACTCATACAATCGATGAAGAACTTGTTCAAGAAAAGAGAGAAGCTGTCGATAAACTTATTGCTGGTTTGTAGTTCTATCAATTTGTTTGTATTCATCCCCGACCATTCAAGAGAAGGAAAAAGCTATTGAAGAACAAAAGGAAGTTAAGGAGGAATTATCTAAAATCAGCGAGAAGCTGGAACTCTTATGGAAAGAGTTGTGTGGAGTTAGTTCCTTGTTCTCGAATTAAATCTTATCGGATTCCTTAGGATTACCAACAAAAAGCAGAGGATGCCAAGAAGAAGTTGCACAATGCTGAGCAAGAAATCGCCAAGACCAAAAGTAAACTGAATAGTGTTGAATTCGATAAGAAGAAGGTATAGAAATGCTATTTTTCTCGAATTATGATTCGTTCTTTAGGTGGAGAAGAAGCTAAGCTCTCTACTGGCCGATCTTGAAAAGAAAACAAGCTGGAAGGAAGAGTTAGTTGGTACAGAAGAGGAGTACAAAGAACAGATCAGCACCCAGAAAGAGGAGAAGGAAAAAGCTGAGGTATTGTCTTATCTCCTGGTTAAGATAGTATTGTACATCTTTAGACTCTAACCAAAGAGATGGATAGCAAGATTAAGGAACTCCGTTCTTCGTATTCACATATGAATGAGGAGGAATCCGCCATACAAAAAGATTTGATTGATTGCAAGGAGAAATTAGGAACAGTTGAAGCAGAACATTATGCTTTCCAAGATGAAATTAAGAAACTCAAAAGAGAAGTAAGTGATTCCAGTAACAACATCTCTCATCTTTCTATCTACAGATTGGAGGATTAAAACTTCATGATATGAAGCAGTATGATGTGCCAAAGAAAGTTCGAACCATGACCAAAGACCATTTCTTGGATCAATCTCTGGAAATGGAAGGAGAGGAATTGATACGGCAGAAAGAAGCAGAAGGAGAGAGTGCAGAAGACGAAGAAGCTGAGAGCGTAAATTGTTTTTTCAAGTCAATTGTTTTGAATGCGCCTTTTAGAATGAAGATGAAGACGATAATGAAGCTGAAGCTCCACAGGATGTGGACTGTTTACCAGAGCTCACTCCCGAAGATCTGGCTGATGAGTCCAAGTAAGTGATCAACAACCGTTCCAATTCTAATACTCTGTTTTAAGAGACCGTTTGCTGTTTAGAATTGATAAGCTCCAAAAAAGGATAACCGCGACAAGAAAGAACATCAATATGAATATTTTGAAAGAGTTCTCAGCTAAGGTATAAAATGACTAACCGGAAAATTCAATTTTGTTGTGAAGTTGCAAGCATATGAAACCGAAATGGACAGTTTGGATGGAATCAAGAAGAACTACAACAGTCACGGCAACCTTCTAGAATCTTTGAAGAAGCAGAGAATGGGCGAGTTCATGGTGAGCATCTAATTCCGGTTCTTCTGAAAGTTCAAGTATTCAGGAAGGGTTCGAAAGGATCGGTTTAGCTCTAAAAGAAATGTATCAAATGATTACTCTTGGTGGTGATGCAGCTCTTGACTTGAAAGACTCCATGGACCCGTTCTCTGAAGGAATTCAGTTTATGTAAGTTCAACATTCCTTTTACCTCTTTGACGTTGGATCAACATTAAGGGTGCGACCACCGAAGAAATCGTGGAAAAACATTGAAAATCTCTCTGGAGGAGAAAAAACTCTTTCATCTCTTGCTCTGGTGTTCGCTTTACATCATTATAGGTTTATCTTCAAGGTCTTACAGTTCTTATTCATCACTTGTTTAGACCTACTCCATTATATGTGATGGACGAAATTGATGCTGCTCTCGATTTCCGTAATGTATCTATCATCGGTCACTATGTTAAGGATCGAACAAAGAATGCTCAATTCATTATTATCAGTTTACGAAACAATATGTTCGAGTTAGGAGATAGACTAATCGGTATTTACAAGGTACTCAGTTGTTTGTTCACGCAGTGCAACCTACGGTCCTATTTCCAGACAAACGACTGTACTAAAAATGTTGTGGTTGATCCAAAACAAATCATGGAACATGCTAAGAAATACAAAAAGACTTTGGATGAAATGCATTCCAAGGTCTCTGTCACAAGCCATTGAGCATAACTTAATATTTGTAAAATAAACTATTTGCCATATTTCTGTACCATTTAATCATTGATAAGAGGAGGGTAGAGAAGGGTTTATTAAATTGAACAAAGAAAAATATAATTTATGGTTATTCATGGAAAGTTGAGACTGAATCGCAGATATTCAAGGCTTATGAGACATTTGACAGAGCGAACATGAACGTTCGAACGCCATTGAGGATAACGTTGATTATGAGTTTCTTGATGAGACTATGGACAACTACCAGTCTTCCTGAAGCTTCAGCAGTATGTCTATTCCATGATTAGTTGACAGTAATGTGTATAGAGAATAGAACATTACTCCTATACATTTTATTAGTTTCTTATTACACTTCTTCAGCACCCAGATGCGATATGTGTCTACGACAAAAAACCATTATGTGTTTGTAATTCTGGAATGCGTCTTGTATGAATAGCAGTTTCACTCGGCTACCTCATTTACTATGAAGAAGTCGGATAAGACTCGATACAATCGACGAATTCTGTAGAAAAAAAAAGTGGTGGCCTTGTTCCTGGCGTTACTATATAACAGCCAGTCATGCTTCTCACAACCATACCTTCATCTCAGTGGTTTCATCACACCAAGTAATATTACGATGAAAGTTGCTCGATCCACCGCTTTGGTCCTTGTTTCCCTTGGACTAGCTATGGCTATTCCAGCTGGACATGCTAAGTTTGTTCACTAATGAAGATCTTTTCAATACTGTTCTTATTACAGATATGGTAATGTCAAGGGCGCATCCGATTATGGAAGCGATGCTGCTCATCACTCCGATTCATTCCACGATGCTGCCCACGGCGAGCAGAAACACGGACAAGCAGGGTAAGCCTTGAGTGACGAATAAGGAAAACAAAGTTCTCATTAGTTATTACGGAAACTCCAAATCATCTGATCATATGGAGGCAGCAAAGGCTGCTGCTGGATCTGCTCACGACGCTGCTGGACACCAAGAAGGATCTGATGCTCACTATTCAGCTGGCAAGAACGACTATGGAAAAGGCAAAGGACCCCGTTGTACTTTAACGTAACGATAGTGATTCAGATGCCAAAAGCAAAACTTTCGGATTCTTCGACTATAAGTACGTTCAACCTCAATACCATATGGAACAATTCCAATCTGACGAGAAACACGCCAACAAGTATGGAGCTGACGAGCATGCTGAGGGAGCTAAGAAACACCATGATGGAGGTTATCACGCTAACGGATATGAAGGCTATGGTAGTTTATTGAAAGTTGAACCACTCGATTTGTCCTATATGTAGACAAAGCTCACAAAGCCTACGGAGGAAATCACAAATCTTACCAAGACAAGGATGCTGCTGAAGGCTACAAGTACAACGACTACAACCGTGGATACGGTATGTTGTTAGAAACTAATTAAAGAAATGAGAATGAACAAACCTGTTTACAACCGTTCTTTGAGACTTTTTATGTGAAAATGATCATTTCACGCATGCGTGAAGACATATTAGAATATTCTAATGAGATTAATTAATGTAGGAAACTATGATGACGGACATTATGATCGTGGATACAATGGATACGGAAACGAATATGGATCACACTACGCTCCAACCTACCATCATCAAGCTCATCCACAATACCACGGACACTACGCACCAGAGGGACAATACCGTCCATCTCATGGATATGGATACGACTACGGATACAATCCAATGTTCCTATAAACTAACAATCTATGTAGTCATGTAATCTGTACAGTGTTGTCATCGTAGTATTTGGCAAATAGTCATATTTGGGAGCAAAATAGATTTTTTTGAACATTCGTCTTGTATTGATTGAGCCACTCAAGTCATAGGCGATTGTTAGGTAGATCAAAGCTTTATCCTCTCTCTTATCAATCAATACTACAAAATAAAAGTTTATTGTATGTTGTTGTGTTTAATTAAAGAATAATGAAAAGGAAGATTTGGACAATTGAAGATTCTTCCCCATTTCCTTTGCTCTATCGCATATATAAAGATCCTCAAAGCTAGCGGAAACAGCAATTGCTATGAGAGTACTAGATGATTCTATAATAGTAGCATTGACGTCATCATAATATTATTATCGCCAGAGGGGTTTGTGTTTGGAAAATCTGCAAATAATTGTTCGCAGTTCAACACAGGAAACGCAATGAATTGACATATTGAGAGAAGGTTCTACTGAAGCAAAGCCGCTGGGATTGCCACAGGCAATCGGTCAATTCTGATAATACAGAGTAGTGTCACTGTTGCAAAACATGTCAGGATAAGGTAACAACCCAAAGATCTGTTAGTATCGAAGTGCACGATGTGTAGTGTGTAAATGAGTTTTCCCATGAATTGTGTAGGCAAGGTTGGTGCGAAATCTATTGCGGCTCAACTTCCTCATATGCTGCATCTGACAGATTGAGATACACGTGTCCCGTACGTACATGGATATGCTTGTGACAATTGAGATGTTTCAACTCATTCATTGCAATGATTTAGTTAGAAGTGTAGAAGAAGCTTCATCATTATCTTCCTCCTCCTCCTCCTCTTCATCCTCCAAAATCTTTGTATTATTTTTATTTGTTGGCTTGGTACATCTATCTGTCAGTTGCTGGAGACAGAGAGCGCATGAAAAAGTCTCCAAAGCGTTCTTTAGTACCTTTCGTTAATTAAAAAGCAACTATTTGTTATGAATGTCATTGTTGAAAGCATTTTTGGCCTTCAAAAGATATATATTAAAAGAAGAATTTGAATTGAATTTGAAGAAGAGATGCTGCTGCTGCTTCTGCTGCTGCTTCAACGTTCATCAGTTTTGCTCGAGAACTTTGCGGTTCACTAAACTTTTTTCTTCTTTTGATGAATAAGTTATAGCATTTATTCCCCTTTTTTGCGAGTCTAAATGGATTGGGAGAAAGCCAAAAAAGGAAGGAAAATAGATGGAAAAGCCTAAATTTGAATTTCGTGAAAGCTTCCTTGAGAGGATATTAATCTCTTGGAAGGTAAGCATCTAGCTCAAGATAGATAGGTTTGTGGCTGAAGGAGATACACAAAATGTAATTTATGGTCACGAAGGCACGTTCATTGTTCAGCAGATGGAAAAAAACGAAGACGATTTCATCGTTTCTGCTAAATCAAACAAACTTTTAAATTATTTACTTCATTTGGCGAGCTTGAGTTCGAGATGTTGCGTCATCAAGCTTGCCATTAGCTTTGTTCTATAAATTCTGTCTTACATGCATCTTCTCTCTGTATTTCTTCCAAGAACGAACGAATTGGCTTTGTCTACATTCCTACTTCTACACGTGTTTCTCTGAAAAATATTTACAATGAAAGTAAATCAGAAGACGTACAACTAGATAAAACATGCTGGAGCGATTGAAAGAATGAGGAGAAGGAGCAGCTGTCATGAAGCTGGACTGTCTGCGACTCAGGTACCAATTGTCCGATTGCTTGACGCTTCCTGAACTTTCTTATAACATTACGTTTTTAAAATGTTCTATCTTTGGCTTCAAGTTTCGTGAATCTCATATCTTCTCTCCCAACTAATAAGCTTCATTAGTCGTCAAGTACTAGTATACAGCTGTTACAGCTTATTCTCAGCTTTTGATCTTTACTGATTACAAAGACTGAAGAGTGTGTGTGTGTGTGTCTCTGTGTGTTTTTGACTAAATCCGATATGAAAATCTGACGAGCAACCTTTGACAGACAGAGAAGGCTAACAACTTGGTCTTGACAAGAATAAGCTGATCTAGACAAGCATTTGTCATGCGGCTTTAATGTCGTCGCCTGCCACTCTTGTTGCTTCATTTTTCTCGTTTGGATTCATTTCATCTTTTGGTTTTGAGAGAAAAAATCTTTTCATATACATTTCCTTTATTTGGAAACATGTCGAGCATATGCAAATTTCATTGATTAGTTACCTAGCCAGTCAGTAAGAGTGATCGAATCAATTAATTCCTTCACGTCGATCTCATCTTCCTCTCGTTCTTTTTCTTTTTTTTTCTTTTTCTTCTACTTCTTCTTCTTCTTCAAAATTTTATTTTGTTTGTCCTGAACGATGGTTCGTTCACAGACTGAATGATCAATTTTTTACTTTTTTCTTCTTCCCCCCCCCCCCCCCCCTCCTCTCCTAGTTCCTCACAAACGTATCCAAGCAATTTGCTTTTAAAAATTTGCATAATATGTCTTGAAGCTTCTTCATTACAATCGATAGTTGAAGGTGGATGAAGGAGTAAACTTATCAATTCAATCAGTTGATCGAAAATCTTACTATTTTCAAAAAAAATTGTCATGACAAGTTGTTTATATGATTACATTTGTTATTTTGACCCCCCACCTCTGTTACCCTCCTTGCATTACCTCAGATTTCATTCTCTAGCCCCTTCTTGTGCTCTCTCTCTCTCTCTCTCTCTCTCTCTCTCACACTTTCTCTGTTTCGGTGTGTCTCTATGCTCATAGTTTGAATTGAATAGAAGAGGGAATTGCTCTTTCGATTTCATCCAAGATTGATACTTGTACTTGCAACTCCATAAATCTTACCAAAATCTGCTTCGAATATTCTTTGAGAGAAAGTTTTTCCGTTCAAAAGTTAATTAAATCCACATGAAGAACATGTTGGAAATTGGATTGAAACAAAAAAAAAGCATTCAAACAACCGCTCTTCAAGTCTCATTCTATTGAAAATGAAAGAAAAACAAAACAAAAATGTAATTTTCACGTGAAAGCACGTGCCTCATTAGCATATGATGCGAATAATTGTGATGTTTAATGTGGTATGTATGAAAGAGATTTTTATATAATGCTGGGAAAGTCATGGTTCACAAAGAATATATAAAGATACCTGATTACTTAGTCTCCTCCCCAGAACAACATCAAAGCTCAACAGACAACAGTTCTTTTCAAATCCATTTCCCCTTCTCTTAATGGAAATTCCTGCAACACAAATGACAATAATATTTTTTTTTAGTCTGTTTCAAACACAAAAATTAAAAGAAAAAAATCTTTTTTCTTCATCTTCTCCTTTCCTTCCACTCATACACATACATAGAGAGAGAGAGAGAGAGAGAGAGAGAGAGAGAGAGAGGGAAAGTAAGTGAGAGTGGCTCTCGAACTGAAGCAAAGGAATAGTCTTCTCACCCTTTCATAGTCGTCTCCCATAAGACTCCATTCATTCCCTTTCTCATACTACTACCTCTCTCTTTTCCTTTTAAACACAACTATCTCACTTTCATCATCCAAATCATATGTTATCCTTTGCTTGACAACTTAATAACTCATTTTCTTTCAATTTCACCAATTTATTGCTTCATCTTCATTCATTCTCTCAACATGTGTTTGGCCATTTTTTAAAATTTCTTTTTCTTTTTTTCAATTTCTTGATCATAACCGAGCATATGTAAGCTGGAAGCACTAACTCATATGAGTCTTTCAGCTTTTCCTTATCGAAAGTCTTTTTTTTTGTTTTCACAAGTTTTGAGCTTAATTTGCTGAAAGCCGTTAATGCCTTAAAGCATCAGGTAGCCGTTAGTTTGAATAGCGTCTCTCTCATTTTCAATTTCTCTCTCTATCTCTCTGTCCAACTTTCTGTCTCTCTTTCTCTCTCTCTCTCTCTCTCTCTCTTGATTGAGATTAGTCAGCCATTCATTCACTGTTTTTCCATTTGATGCTCTTGGAACATCTCTTGCAGAACCAATGTTCTACCTTTTCTACCATTAAATTTTCTAATAAAAGTTGTTTTTTCAACTGGAAAATCGTCTCGACTTCATTAAAAACTACCTGAATGATGAACTTCATATTGAATATCAGGTGTCAATGACGTCAATAGATTAAGACTTCATCTTCACCGACGACTGTTGACGGAGAAGAAATAAAATTCAAATTTCTCTTTTTTCTTGTTGTTAATTAGCTGGCAGCCAAAAATAACTTTCTCTCTCCCCCTCTCTCTCTCCCTCTCTCTCTCTCCCTCTCTATCTCTTTCTCTCTCTTTTTTTTTCTTTGCAAAAGTTCGCAAGTGATTGCTTTGGCAAACTTAATCATCTGATTAATCAGAATTAATAGAGCCGTCTGTCTTCTCACTTTCCCTCTTCTCCCCTCTCTCTCTCTCTCTCTCTCTCTCTCTCTCTATCAGTTTGTTCGTCCTCTTCAAATTACTTTTCTTTCTTATGAGATAACCTATCAGATTGCCAACTTCACACAAAACTCTTTCACTTGTGCCTTTCTTTAACTGTTAAAAGAGAAAGCAAGAAGTCAGTGTTGTGGAAGAACATGGCCGTTGGCGATTTTTTTGTGAAATGTATGAGATCTCTTGAGAAGTGATGCTATCTGATGTACCTGAACAGTTGTTGAATGTGTCAGTTGGGAAGAAGTGAGAACATAGGATTGAAGCTGGAGAAGAGTTTGAGAAATAAAGTTTGATATACAAAAAGTAATACAAAGATAAAGAGAGAGAGAGAGAGAGAGATTGATAGAGAGAGGTAGGATGGATGGAAAGATAGTCTCTTCTTCTTCTTCTTCTTCTTTGGATGTTCCTCTCCCTCAGCTAATCATTAACTATTTCATGTTCAAAACCAATTTGTTGCGAGAATTTTCTTGAAATTAACAAACGAACCACAACATGTCCGTATAAATCTTATTTTCAGCTTTTTCAAGTACACAACACATGAAGCTTTCTTGGAAGAAAAAACATTGTTTGTTCCTTTTATTTTGCAACATCAGAATAGACAGAAGAAGCCAAAACACAACCGCTCTACACGCATTCATCCATCCCAAATGAACTATGCACGTTGTTTTACGTGAAATTTAAACTAAAAATTGCGGGAAAAGAAGAGAAGTGAAGTGAAAATCCGTTGAGGAAAAGCGATTAAAGCCTATTTTGAAGAATAAAAGTTCAAAATGGTAGGCAAAAGCTGAATGTTGTTGAGAGTGGGTGAAATGACAGAACGTAAACAAGAAAACATTTTCTTTTTCGTTATTTTCTCTTTCGAACAAAACAATTGAATGGAAGAAGATTCATTTGTAACTTACTCACGTTGATCATTGAGGTGTTGATTGCGACGATGATCCAACTATCAGACTTCTCTTCTGAATATCTTATAAGCTACATGTTAAGCTGAAACAAAACATTCTGCTTACGTTGTTTTCACAAATGAACTTCATAATGTTTCTTGACATGTTCAGCTTCTCCTCTCGTAGTTCTTCGTAATTTTTTTCCTTTTTTTTTTCTCCTTCTCCTTCTCTTCCTTTTCATCTTCTTCTGAACACTGTTTGCTCCGCCTCCATCTATCTTGGAATCGTTTTGTGGGCCCACGCCCTCCAACCTCGCCCTCTCTTCACAGCTTAACCTCCCTTTAGTTTGTGTTTCTTAAAGTTTTTCCTTCTTCGTCCTCCGATACCCATGAGACTAGCTGAAACTCAAGAGAGAGAGGAACAAGACAGGAAACAGAGCATGGCCACGTGCGCTTCTTCTTCGATAGAATATGAATAGATCGTTTTCATCATACCGATCTCTGATTCTTCTCTCCTCCTTTTCACTATTTTATATTTAGTAGCATTTCCTTTCTTCTCTCATTTTGGTGTTTTTTCCATGAAGGTCTGCTCTTTTCGATACGTCAATTCTCTCTTTACGAACTATTCATATAACGTTTGTTGCTGTGAAGAAAAGACTTTAGAAGTCAAGATCCAAAGATCATCTAAAGGCCTAGCATCTTATATCAGCTTCACCTTCTTCTTCTTCTTCTTCTTCTTCTTCGGCTGGTTACCTTCTTCTCTTTCTATCTTATCACTCCGTTTTTTTCTGTTTTCTTTATAGTTCACCTGAAACGATTGAAAAACTTGAAATGTGTTGTCGTTGTTTGCCGCCTTCATGCTCTTCCTTCATGCTCCTCCTTCGAAGATCTAAATCACCTTAGTTATATCTATGACTGACCCTGTTTTCAAATGGTTTACGTGTTGTTCCTGAATAGTTGCGTTTGTCTTTCTCTCCCTTCCTCTCTCTCTCTCTCTCTATCTCTTTTCGTTCTTCTTCAGAGGTTTTCTTCCCCTCTCTTTCCTTCTCTCTTTCTTTCTTTCTCTCTTCCTCTGTCCATTCTCGTTTCTCTTTCATTTGCCTTTTTTTGTTATTCCAATGTCTTTTTCTCACTTCGGCACTTCATTTCTTTAAGGTTTTCAATTGGAAATACTTCCCAAGCATTTTGCTTTCTCCTCAAAATTTGCATAAGAGTTCACGTGGCTTCTACGTGAACAAAGTCATTTCGTTTTGCAGTCAGGGCTTTAAACGGTTGTGTTTTTAACATTTTTAATGGAAAATCGTTTTTCGAATAAAAAAATTTAAAAATAACCTTATAAGATAATCCTTTTCTCCCGTTTTGCATCTTTTTTTTTTCTCGTTTTGGTTTCGTTTTTGCTTTTCGCCTCTTTGCTCTTGTGCCGTCTGTGCTTATCATGTATCTTCGTTCGCTTTCTTCAGATTTCTCCTTATTTTCATGCAATTTTCGGTGTTCGCAGTTGTTTTTGTTGAAACTTCTCCATGTTTGCCCTCTTTTACATAATCTTTTATTAAAAAAATATCTGAAACATCTGATGCTTCTTCTTTCATTTCTGATTATCCAATCTCATCGATCATTAAGCTGCAGCTCGTTACTCTCTCTCTCTCTCTTTGTTTCTTTGTTTCTCTCTTACTCTCTTTGTTTTTTGCGATACTTAGTTTGGATGAACCTATTGTGACTGATATGTCATTGCAGTTATACGAATCATGGGTAATTCGAATAGTTCTAAACTACGCCAACGATCTGAATCAATGCAAATAAAGAACAGCTCAGAACAGTCGTTTAATAAGAGCAAGTCAATGGTTGAATTAGCGCCGAAGAAGGCTCGTCAACCATCTGGGAATGGCAAAGATCGTGATAAGCCAAGATTACAATCAAAAGATTCAACGAAAGCAAGGTTTGCTTTACATTTTCAGTTTTTCAAACTTCCTCGTCTCATAATTGCTTCCGTTAGCTGCAACTCTCTTTCGACTTCTTAGTCATTGAACAATCGAAATTACCTTTCATGCTTACATCTCTCACCTTTACAACATTCGCAGTTGTTTTATGAAGACAAGAAAAAAAGAATTTATGTCATTGTCGCACATCATTCATGGATAAAGCTGAGTTATCATCCCCTTGAGACTATTAAGATGACGTGACGTCATCAGATGAAGCTCGTCATTTTTAACTTTTCATTGATGAATTGAGTACTCTTCTTCTATAATTTCAGTGTTTCACGTCAAAAGTCCATCCGACGAGATATTTCCCATCCAATATCTCCACAAGGCCGAGAGATTATCACAACTTGCTTCGAAAATCCACATTCTGAATTTGCGAATAAGGTAATTATCTTCACAAAAATCATTGAAAATCCATTTAACAACTTTTGTTCTGATCATTGGTGTCGCATTAGAGGCGGCTTTTGCCTTTTCAATGAGAATCTCTCAGAAACAGTTGTCAAAATGTCAGAAAAGTTCAAAATTTCCACTTTTTTTTAGGTCTTACAACGAATCTTCGAAAAACGAGGAGACTATCAGAACTATGTTTATTCGATGGGAAAAGAACGTTCATATAACATGAGCTGTGAATTGAAAACACTTATCGAAGAAGTTGTGGATAAGGTGAATCGCTATTCTATCTCTTCAATTATATTCTCAGCGACGACCGCTCAAACTCTTCCTTCATCTATATACCAAAGCTCCCAAATGAATTGTGCATGCACAGCCGCTATTCTTAGAAAAAAAGTAAAAAAATGAAAATTGCACAAAATAGGCGTCGCTTGTCAAAGAGGGGTACACAGAGAAACATAAAACTCGCCCGGAATTGTTGAACATTCATAATTTTTTTATCTTTTCTCCATATTTTGTCTCCGTTTAGAGGTATTCTCTTTCTCTCTCTCTCTCTCTAGCTCTCTCTCTCTCTCTCTCTCTCTCTGACTGTTTTTTCCTGCTGACAAGACCTTCCTCTATCCTTCCAGACACACAGAAAAAGAAAACATTTTTTATTTGTAAAAATAAATTTTTCATAAGCCTACACACATAACCAACAGCTTTTCCCCATTAATTTCGAACGCGAAACTTGAAGGAGCAACAAAAACGTGCTTAAATGAGATTTTTGGTAGAGAATAAGCGATTTTATTGAAAAGAAGCAAAAGCTTTCAACTACTGAGCATCAATCGTTCGAGTTTTAGTCCTCATAATCTCCAGATGTTTCCCCCCAGTATGGGCATCAATCATTCGCTCAAAATCCATTTTTTTCCTTTTTTTCTTCTCTCCGAATATCATAAAGAGCCTTTTCGTAGAATTCAACTCAATTTTTGAAGACAAAAAAAAACATTTTCGTATTATGAGTTAGACAATAGAATCCTTTGACTGAAATTAGCCATCGCCATTCTTCATTCCTCCTCTTTTCAGCTTTATGATCCTGAATACATTGCCGAAATTTCTCGGAAGTATGGTGAAGATCATGTGGAGTTGAAACAGTTTGGATTTAAACCAGATTTCTGGGTTGCTATTGCTGATGCAATTACCGTAGAAGGAGTTATATTGGATATGGCTAATCATCAGGTAGAGCAACTAACTCATTAGACACATGGCTAATGTTTCTCTTGAAGCCGGCAGATACAGTAGCAGCATGGTCATCATTGGTCACTCTCATGTTTTCTGCAGTTCGAGATGGGTATTACACGGCGTTAAGAAAACATCGAATGTCGTCACGTAGGATCCTGCAACGACAGAAAACAATTGATTCGCAGGATCATAATGAGCAATCTAATGTGATTCTTCTGTTTCTTGAACTCTTTCCATTTTGCATCTTCGTTACAGGAATCAAATAACATAATGACGTCATCGTTAAATCACAATGTAAAACGATTGTCAACAGTCTCGAATGGTTTATCAGCTCCAGCAATATCATCCAGAAGTCATTCATTAACCTCAAATGAATCAAATGGTGGAACACTTCCAAGAAGTATGATATCAATTGATCTTAGAAACTATTTGCTAACTGATCTCTGTTTCAGCAACTGGATCAATTAACATCATGGCTCCAGTTGTCAGTTCAACAACTACAACAAGTATATATAATGGTGGACAAGCCCTAGTTACATATCGTCAACGGCCAATATTCGAATGATATGCATATTGAGCCAGCCCAATACATCCGATCAGCTGTAATATTCTGATAATTCGCTTAAATCAGGCAAAGAAACTCTTTTGAACTGGAACATATATGGTTGCCAAACGCCCTACGGGTACCTCTTTTGTTATTCTCTTTTCTAAAACAGTGTTGATTGATCATTGACTCTCTACAGAACTCTTTTCCATTGTGTTGTATGTAAGTAAGTGGGAAAGAGAGAGAGAGAGAGAGAGAGAGAAGAAGCTGATGGCTATGGCTATGAAGAAGAAATAAAGTAATTTTTTAGTGAAAAGAAGACAAAAAACTATTTCATATCTCTATCTCTATTCTCTTATGTTATGTGACTAAATTTGCATGTGTGTGTGTATGTGTGTTTGAAGCATATGATGCCCCGGGGGCTATTACAGCTATATAAGGCTGTCCGTCGTGTATCTTGTCCATTCAGTTAACATTCCCTTAATGTTTGACAATTACCAAACAAACACAAAGAAACTTATCTTATTTGGACAATTACATACATATATCTCTATGTATAATCATTGTAATTATAATAATCCATTGATGTTTGATGACAAAAATGAAAATCTTCCTCTTCAAATGTATTGTCTAAAAGAAACAAAATGATAAATGACTGATATGAAAACTGCATTTTGTGTGTTAAACAAATGAGAAAACGAGGAAAAAACTGACATTTGCTTTCGAATACTTCGACTTCCGCCTTTCCTCTCCGTTCACAAATTACAACCAAAGACTCTAAACTTAAACCTGGGTTAATCTTAAATCAGGGATATGACTGAGAGAGAGAAAAATGAATAAGATATACATGATAGAGAGTGAGAGAGAGAGGGAAAAAGAAAAAAAAGAAAAAAGATAGGATGAGAGAGAGAGAGAGAGAGATGATAAGGTACAACCGCTCATGGCCGAAATAATGAAAAAAATGAAAATGTTAAAGGTTCTACGTGAGGGCGCCAAATTTGAATATCACGTGTGGTCTACGTGAAAGTATAAATTGAGGGTTTTTTATATTTTTGACCTTCTACTATATAATCTTATCGGTTACTTATCATTTATACTTTATTTGATAATTCCTATCAGACTTCACGTCTTGAGCCGACTAATGAAATTCTTAACTATTTTAACTATATTATATAATGTATATAACGTGTTAACTATTAATATTCAAACTACATATGGAGAAGTTAAAGGAACATCGTTAAGCTACAACGATCATGTATATTACTTGTTTAAAGTGAATCTTCTAATCTCTCTTACTGTCTCATTCACTTCTTGTTATTCAGAAAATACCTTATGCACAATCGCCTACAGGCAGTCGGCGGTATAAACAGCCGCTTCCCATCGATAGATGGTCACATATCTTGGATGCTACCAAATATGGGTGAGAGTTATCAAATAAGCAATGGAAAATGAAGTTTGTTATTCAGACCTGCTTGTATGACAAATTCCACTGTTAGCACAACAGCACCTAAGTGGATAAGTGAAGATTGCTTGTTCATCAACATCATAACAAGTGAAAGATGCATAGTTAGTCTAATAATAAGTTTCTTATTAAAAATAATAATTAATGAAGAATGAGTCATGTCCTGTTATGGCTTATGTGCATGGAGGCCAATTAAACTATGGATCAGCTGTTCAGTTTAACGAGACATGGTTGATAGAGCACTATGTCTCAAACGGTAGTAGCAATCATACGCGTCATGAGTGAAAGAGAGTGTTATAGATATCGTTGTTGTCCTTCTAGCTTATCGTCTAGGATCATTTGGACTTCTGATGCTCAATGATGCTTCTATCGTTCCTCGGAACATTGCTATTTTGGGTATTGCCAGGGACCATCCTGCTCTCTCTCTATCGATTAATTCGTTCAGATATGATTGAAGCATTGAGGTTCAACAAGAAGATTATTAAAGACTTTGGAGGAAATCCAAGCAATATAACGTTGATGGGACACTCTTCTGGAGCAACAGCAATTAGTCAGATTGCCTTTTCGAAGTATACACTGCCAATTATGGTTTTCATTTCAATTTTATATTTTCTCAGAAATATTGATGCAAAGGCAGAACTCTTTCAAAGCTTTATAAGTATTAGTGGAGCAGTGATGTGGAAGCCAAAGATGAGGGCATTAGAGATCACTGACGAGTTTATTAAGTTAGCAAAGGTCAGTCAACCGTTCTTCGAGTCTTCTCTCATCGGCAGACAGTGATGTTATCGATACACGTGACGTATCATTCAACATTGAATTTGCGTGTTAATTTCATTGAAATTGCAATTTGATCAAAATCACTTTTTCCAGTGCAACAAAAGAAATGAAAAAGAGAAGATTGCATGTTTGAGATCAAAAGAAGCCCATCATCTGGTTATGGTGCAGCAGGAGTTGGAAAACAGCGAAGTTCTTTTCACGGGATCAGTTCTTGACGCTCCATTCGTGTTGGAAAATGAGAATGAAATTGATTTCATTCAGAATCCACCGGTATCATTGGATACATAGATGACCTTCATACATCTAGTTCAGAGAAGGAACGCTATGTTCGGAGCAACTGCCAAAGAATTTGGGCCCAATGATCACGAAAAGGGACATTTGGATTTTCTCGGATTCAAACATGAGGATTTGGTGAAAGCAAAGTTCGATGCGGATCACAAAAAAGCGGAAGAAGGCATGTGAAAGACTGAAGAGGTTTAGCATTTAAAGAGAACATTTAAGATAATCAGCCACTTTGGAGTTATGAATCTCAAGCTAGTTATGTGACGAACTTCGTATATGGAAGTGAATTAGTGAAAGCAGGGGGACAAGTTTACTTGTATGAATTCAGGTATACGAGATGATGAAGTTCGTGCGTTATGCTTTCTTACAGTCAATACCCTAACCTGGCTTCTCATGCTGCTGACATGATCTATTTCATTGGACAACACCAGCGCCCTCTTACAAATGATGAAAAGATTGTTAACTCCTTCTATTCTCATTTCTTGTCGAACTTCATCAGAAATGAAGTTCCAGCAGAGAGTGAGTGAGGCATGCAGATACACATCCTCATAATGCAATCTATTTCCATATAGTTTGGACACCATTTGACAGCAACAAAGGAAACTATTTGAACATCGAACTCTATGAATCGAGAAATGTCTTTCCAACAATGAAATTTCCATATCATCCTGATATGCTCGACTATTGGTTACATAATATGACAGAATTCGATGAGAATTTGAATGAATTAGTAAGTCATCATCTTCTCTACTCTCGTCGTTCGATAACGTTGTCAACAACGTCAAAGGAATGAGAGCCGGCTGTTAACGGAAAAAAACTTTTTTTTTTGCAGACACCTGTGGTGGATGTGCGTGATGTAGTTCTGGAGAAGAAGAGTGAAGAGAAAACTTCCATTTCCATCATGACTTACATTCTGTTCGGCTTGATCATTCTTGTCGGTATAACAGCTTTGTTGAAGGCTTGTATTAGAAAGAAACGAATTAGAAATAATTACACTCAATTACCCAATTAATAAATATTTCGAAATAGCAACCGATCTTTGTGTCTGAACAGAAGAAAATGAAAGTGCAGTCATGCATTAGATGCGTATTGATTAGTTTGTTTTGTGTTAACTTGTTAAGATGGTCAAGTATGTATGATACACTCATGCACACAAACTCCATTAGAACCACATCACTTTTTATCATAAAAACTATATATTTATATAAACTATAAAACTGAAATAGATTAAGCTTGATGATCAAAGTAACAACTTCTATCACAACAAGAAATCTATAAAAGGCTCAAATGGACACAAGTGGGGTGCTGATTCGCCTGCCGACAATCTCCCAACTATGAATTATAAATGCGTTGTCTTTGATTTTGGTGGAGTCGTCATGAACTATGATAGTTTGAAAGCTGTTGTTAAAGGTATTTTCTGAGAAACTTCTGCTTATTAGAATCTGTAGACAACAAGTCGATGCATTTACTGTTATTTCCAGAAATTTCAACTGAAGTTAATGGAGATTACGATTTTCTATCAAAGCTCTTCTCTCACACAGTTTGTTTTTCATTATTTTGCTTTCTTTTTTAATTCTGTTTTCTTTTCAGTCAATTTTTTCATTTCCTGCCAAAGATCTGTTTGAAGGAGAAATAACAGCCGAAGATTTGGAACAGCACATGATGGATTTTGCTGAAAAGGAGGTATGTGATGTGTGTTGAGATGATAATGCAAGAGAACCCCTCTCATAGCACAAGATTATTCTGCCGAGGCACATCAGGCCTATCCAAGATTGGTTTCTTAAGCATCTGCAGTATGTAAGTTTACCTGCTGCCGTCGTCTCCCCCTCATGGGAAAATAGAAAATGAACTCCATTGTTTTCAGAATGATTGTGTGATTAATGCGATTGAGGCTTTACGCAAGAATGGCATTCAAACAGTTCTGTTAACAAATAATTTTTATTTGGATAAGGTAAACTCCTTTTGACTGCCCACGTGTGCGTGGACACAAAACCCTTTTCTCTTCTCCAGAAACGACTGACACCTCGAGTTCCAGTTGATAGCTTATTTGATTTGATTATTGAATCGTGTATAGAGAAATGTATGAAACCACATTCTCAAATATATCAAGTAAACTCCAAATATGTCAATCAAACTTACAAATTCTATTTATGAAGTTGACTCAATCACGTCTGCAGATAGACGATGGCTCTCAAATTGTATTTTTGGATGATCAAGCCGAGAACTTGGATTATCCTCGTGACGAGTTAAACTGGGCAACCATCAAAGTGAGCTATAATGAGATGGGCAGGTCAATGGATCATTGAACCATATTGCAGGTGAACCGCGATGATCCACAAGAAGCCATTCATCGTCTTCAGACGCTTCTCGGAATTTCTCTGTTTGTTTGAATTTTTGTCTTTAATTTTTCATTTTTTGATACTAACAAACAATCTCTTCGTTTTTCTCTTCAAATATGTTGTATTTGCTATGGAATTTTAATATTTGATCATAATTCACCTTTATATAAGTTGGTTGTCAGGTTTATCAAACCTCTTTTTGAACAAATAATGAAGTTTTCATATATTTTAATTTCCCCTTCTGGCTAACAGACCATCAAAAGATCAAACATCCATTGATAGGTTGAGAGTTTCCATATTTCAAATCGAAAAATCAAAGAAAGTCATGACTTTTCAACTCTTTGCTTCTTCTCTTTCTTCTATGTCGCAACCCTTTCTCTCTCTCTCTCTCTCTCTCTCTCCCTCTCTCACGCTCGTCTCTTATCAAGCGCTGTGATTAATACGCACTACTTCACAGATTTCATGACTGTTTTCCAACCAAAAAAATAAAATTCTGGAAAGTTCTCTATCAGAGGCATGACTGATAGAACTAACTTCGCATTTACATACATTTGCGATGAAGATTATGAAAAGGAGGGACTGTTAAAGAATACAAAGAGCAAGAGAGAGTATGGGCTTCATACTGTCAACCACAAGAGAGTTAGAGAAACAGAAAATGTGTTTAAACAGAGAAATCTGAATGAATCAGGTTTTTAACCATATATTGATAACTATCTTTGCTTAGAAAGTAAAAGTTACAAAAGTCGAGAAGATCATATGGTTTGAGGAGTGTCCAGAGATTCTTATTTCAAAGATCATTTCAGTCACATTGACATGACTCTTCCCCTGGTCCCGCCTCTAAGCCTTGACCGAACATACAGCAAATATATCTTTTTGTCTATGATCCCTCTTCATAATGCATGCTCTATCTCGCAGATGATCTTTGCCATAACAGGAAAAGTATAAAAGGAGCGCAATGGGACAGCCTTTTCACTGAAATCATTAGCTATGGCGTCATACAGTCCTCCCTCCCTCTCCGCATGCTTTTGCCTAACCTCTTAGACTACTCTGTTCACAAATGATGAACCATCTCTCTATGAATGTTATTGTTGTTGTATATATGTATGTCTCAGACTCACAATATATATGTTAGTTTATGTTTTCTTCGTGATCATTATCATTTGAAAATGCTTTTTGTCTCATTCATATTCTCAAGGCCAATTAATCATTGTCTGTCATTGATAGCACATGGATTTCAATGGAATTTTAATCAAAAATGAATGAAAACTTGCAAACAGTTCAAGTGTTCTTCTTTCTGAATGACTTTCACGAAATTCCGGGGCTAATCTTCCAAAAACAGTCCTTGAATCTGCATTTTCCGTGTGGAACTCATATATCCTGCAACTTGCTCATTTGCATAGTTTTCACGTAGCCACGTGTATTTCTAACGTGGGAGTTTGATTAATGGAATCTTTGACAGTTATCAAACGTTCAGATCGGTTGCTTGGCATTTTCAGCAAAATTGAATTATGAAATTGCTCATTTGTATGAAAGAATGTGTCGTATGAAAGAGAAAAGAGAGCAGAATGAAGTGAAAAACAATTTTTTGCGAAAAAAAAAGAAAAAAATTCGTTTTACATCCAATTTCCATGTTCAAATTATTCAAAAACGTTCTTCGACAACGATGTGAAGATGAATTTGGAATATTCAATTTATCAGCCGAGAGACCATAGTTGTTGAGGGAGAGAGAGGGACTATGCGAGAGTATGAGAGAAATAGATCAAAAAACCATTCTGATCTTTGTCGTAATTGCTGAACAGTCATTGAGAAGATGTGAGACAAAAAGAAACTTTTTTTCTCCCTCACTCTCTCACCTCTTCCTATTCTCTCCCACATACTCTCTCTTCTACACATACTCTATTTACCCGTTTGATACTGATCTTAGTCAAATAAGTACTGGAAAAGTATATTTTTGGGTCTTGATGCCGTCTGTGTATCATCGAAGTCTTTGCTTTTTTAATTTTCTTGATAAAGTGAAAGATGAGGAAAGAGAGAGAGGTTCATTCATCGCTCTTTCTCTCTCTCTCTCCCTCTCTCCGGATATTCTCACAGCTGACATGCACATGTTAACGTTTGCAGAGAAAAACGAAACGTCTGTTCTTTGAGTTCTTGAAGTTTTCATTTTTCACCATTAAATGATTTCAGTTTTTACCTCCCAATCCCAGATTATACACCTTCTGCTTTACCTTTAAGCTTAGATGATTCAGATTGAACTCATGATCTTTGGACACAGCATGTGTTCAATTTCAATTTTTTTTGGCTCATTTTTTGAGCTCTCTCGTCTACTCCTTAGGAATCGTGACGTCACATCTATCCCACTACTGCCTGAATATGAGCGAACTTTCCCTCTCTATCTCTATCTCTCTTATTCTCCATCTTTTACCATTCTCTCTCTCTCTATTTCTTTTTCTCTCCTTGAGAGAGATCGATTTATACCTAGAATTCAGAAAATGCCATTTACTCATTTAATGGTGAAAAAGAAAGTATTAAAAGATAAAAACGAACTAACTAAAGCTTTTCCAGCTGCTATTTTTTGTGTTTTTGGGGTCGAAAACGATTCTCTTTTATGTTTTCATGGCTTTACGCCATAAGCCTTGATGAGATGCTGACTCAACAAGCTTGCTTTGCTTCGCATTTTCTCTTACGAGTCAAGCGTGCCACTGGCTTTTTGAGTCAAAGCTTCAAGCAAATAGTGATGCATCGCCTTTAGAGGAATGTTTTCTCAATCCATATGCAGTTGCGCGTTTTAAAACATTAAAGCCACGTTCGGAAGCTTATCCCCCTGCGGCAATGCGTTTTCATGTGAGTGTGTGTGTGTGTATGGATGAATATGTGTGTATGTGTGTGGGGGGGAGCATGCATGTGCAAGTTTTTGTCTCTTCTGCCCTAAAGGCTTGTCTTCTCTTTTCGCTCACTCCCTTTTATGTTCTTTCTCTCGTCTTCAACTACTTGGCCAAGAAGCATTACTGCGGCTTCGGCTTGTCGATTTCAAACAAAAAGCACTGGAAGCCGTTGCTTTTTCATCGTCGTCGTTGTCGTCGTTGTCGTTGTCGTTGTCGTCGTCGTCTTCTTCTTCTTCTTCTTTTTTTCTGCCTTTTTGCTTATTTTCTTTATGAATTCTGAATATTTTGCGGTGTATGAGATCTACGCTCTGCTAAAAAATATATTTTCTTCTTCTGTTTTCAATGAAAAAACGTTGAGAGAGAGCAGGCGACCAATCATCTTTGAATTTTTCGTCTTTTTTTTAAATGAAATCTCACAAAGCGTTCGTCAAAATTATTATTTCTTATCAACCCTCTCATTCTCTTTATGATAATAGAGAGAGAGAGAAGAATTGAAAGGGAAATATAGTGAGGGAGAGAGATAGAGAGAGAGAAAGAATGGAAGGGCGAAGAATAATATTTTTTTTTCTTTCTTTTTCTTTTTTACTCCGCCCAACTTCGAAAGCTTCGAAGTTCATCTCAAATTTCTTGTTTCAGCTACCCTTGTACTCAACTCTACTTCCTTCATCTCTCTCTCTTTTCCTTTCTTTTTTTAACAAACAATGGGTAAGGGTTCATTTGAAATTTAATATTCTAATCCTCATCTTTCATCAGTTCAACAACAAACTCGCCAATCACCCATTGATATCACAGGCGATTATGCCGTACATGATCCTGACTTCTGTGCGGTTAGTTCATTATGCTTTCTCATAAATTAGAATATGAAAATAGACGTCGTTTACGTGAACTTTCACGCATCTCACATTTCATTTGTTTTCGTCAAAAACAGTTGTGAACGGTTGAATGAAGTCGACTTTCAAATTATATTTTATGAAATTGCCATTATTCAGAAGGACAAAATCAACGTAACCTATGTTCCTGGAGACTGCATTGAAGTTGTTGCAACGGAAGGACGTGGATTCACTGTCAATGTGAAAGATGGCTGCAAAACAAGTACGTTGCTCATACATTTTCATTTCAAATCTTTCTTTTTTTTTGTCTTTTACTCCAAAATATATTTTTTGTAATCAAAATAAACTGATTTGTTTGAAGCTCTTGCTGCTAACCACCTTCCTGGAAACTATGAACTTGTCCAATTCCATGCTCACTGGGCTGAGTGCGGAGAACGTGGCTCCGAACATTTGGTCAAAGGAAAAGCTTATAGTGGAGAAGTAAACTTTGATGGTTTTTTTCTTTCATATGTATTGTTTGTTTATAGGTTCATTTCGTTTTCCGCAACACTAAATATCCATCATTCTGTGAATCTCTTGATAAGGAAGATGGTTTAGCCGTCCTGGGTGTTTTCCTTCAGGTAATCACATTCTCCAACAACAAACAAACTCAATTTACTCTGCTAAGCAAACGTTTACTAATTATTGTTTTTCAGGAGGGAAAACATAGCGAAAACTATCAGCCATTGATGGAAGCTATTAAGAAGTCATCTGAATCGAGTGAACCAACCAAACTTCCTGCTTCTCTTGACATTCAGAATCTTCTTCCCAATTCAGGTAATTTGAATAATTCGGAGAAAATTGAAATTTTTTGTTCAGATGATCGTGAATTCATCACTTACCCAGGCTCTCTAACTACTCCACCATTCTCAGAATGTGTCATTTGGACGGTCCTTCTGCAGCCAGTTGAAGTTTCGAAGCAACAACTTGATGTACTTCGTTCTATCACCCCTGCCAATCACCGAGGATGTCAATCCATTTGTGACCGAATAATTCGTTGTTCAGTCAATTTCTAAGAAAACTCAATTTCGTTAAACCCTCCAAAGCTGTTTGAAAACCTCAACAATGCTTTCCATTTCTCTAGCACCCTCTCAAGAGTAGCATGTGTTAGAGCATGTGTCTTGTGTGCCCTCTGCGTGCACATAAAACAGCATCGCTATTGCTACTAGAAACATTAACACAAAAAAAAAAAGATAAAATCTAAGTCATTTTGATTAATAATGTGATATAACAAGTTTATAATAGTTTTATGTTTAGTTAAGAGAAGCTAATATTTAGTTGAGAAAATGATAAAACGGATTTTGATGTACAAAGATGGAAATGAGAACGAATGATTCTTGTTTCACGCCAAATACAAAGCCTTCTATTTTGTGTGTCAAATTATATTATATTTATAAATACTTATATAGATATTCTGAATATTTTATGAAACCATACTTATAGTATAATCAGCATAATATATATATTGAAATGGTACAGATGCAAACGACAGTCTGCATGTCATCAGCAACTAGCATGTCAACCAATTCAACCAATTCATGCACATTTCAGAGATGTTATGAGGAAGAGGAACAAAAAAAAAATAGAAAAGTCAAACATGGATGGATGCGAGTGAACCGTTTCATCAAATGTAATGTATTTACAGACAGCAGTGAGGGGCAAAATCTGATTGAAGCCAGCTTATGCCTGAAATGCATGGCTTCATTTTCTCTGACTCTCTCTATTATACAAGCTCTTTCATCTCCTTTTTTTGAATTCATTGTTTGATTTTTGATTTCAAATGGTGTTTTCTTCCTTAATTCATGGAGTTGTTGGAACCTTTCTCTTACCAATTACTTTCTGCCCTCCATTCAATCGTTTTTAATGAATAATTTTATTTAATTGAAAAAAACTTTTTTTCATGACGTCTTTCCAATTGCGAAGCATGAAGGAAGCAAATTCTGTTTCGAAAGAAGAATGATTATAATTGGTGTATTAAAAGATATCAAGATATTTGATGAATATATGTTTTAAATACCAACAAAGAGAGGAGAAGGTGATGAAGAGAGAGAGGGATAGAGAGAGAGAAAGGCGCTACTGAGAGGTATCAAGAGAAATGGAAAGGAGTCTCCTAGCAACTAAATAACCATCACTTATGAAAAGAACTAATTTCTCTTAAAGTTATGATCACAGACACCTTTTTAGTCACATTGTACCTTCATTAGAATATTGCGTCATTCTTACTCGTTTGAGTTTTTTTTTCTCATTTTCAGTTATGTGTGGCGTGCTGAGCGGTTGCATTCGATCGAAAGGCTTATAGCCAACGATAATAGTAAGTTCCTAGTTACGTTCCAGCTCCAAGACGTATTGGTGTGAAGGAAGAAGAAGAATCTATCATATTTCTTGTCGCGTGTAAAGTATTAATATGTCTTGTTCCCCTTTTAACCATTAATATATAGTTAGTATACTTTCAGCAAGAATGTTTCAATAAGACTTCATATCTAACAAATAAGAAGAAAAAAAACTATTTTGAAAGTGAGATAATTGGAGATGGGGAGGAGGACGAAGAAGAAGCGCTTCTGTGCAGCAGCATAAGAGAGAAGCATGTTGTTTGTCCTTCGCAAAAGACACGAAGCTCACAATAATATTATGAAAACTTAAGTTTTTGTGAATAAGACGCAAATCCTTATGATATTTCAGAATAAAACTATTTCGTCTGCCAAATCAAATGGCAAATGAAAGAAATAAATAAACAATAAGCCTTTCTCTATCGCGCCTCACATAAAGCCTTTCCTTCCTTTGCTCTCGCATTCTCTTTTGCTTGAACCTTTTGGCCGACCCAAAATATTTCTAATTTTGTACTTTCTCTATAAGAATTACAAGAAATCCTTTCTTACACCCCTGTTTCATGTTTAAAAGGTTCTTTTCATTTCAAAAAGTAATTTGTTGAACCAAAAAAGCTCTCTGTCTGTCTCTTATAATGTGCTTTGAATGATCGGAGAGCCACACATAAGGCATGTGTGAAACCTGAGAGAGAGTCTGGTGTATTTCAAACTTCACACCCACCCCCCAACTCGTTTGTTCATTTGAGGCTTTATTCTTTCAGATACAATGTATCGAGCTCTTATCGCTCAACAACGTGCTTCTATAGAAGAAGCTATTAATGATAAAGAAAATCTTCATCGACGTCAATCCCCTATTGATATTTCCACTAAGAATTGTATTTTTGATGGAAAATTGTGTGATGTAAGTTTAGCTCCTTTCTTGATTCTCTTTGTTCTATTCTTCTATCACCTAATCTCTTTCTCTCTCTCTCTCTCTCTTACTCTCTCACTCTCTCTATCTCTCTCTAAATGCTTCTTAAGGCTCATTCTTTCAACATTACATACACCCCTGGAGACTGTGAGAGAATCATCATTAATCCGGGCAAAGGCTGGCAAGTTGCTGCTGTTCCAAATGCTACAACAAGTTTGTTTTGCAAGTGCAATTATATTACAAATTAATAAAAGTATTTACATACAATTATAATATTCAGGCCTAACAGCTTCACATTTAAAATCAACTTATCGATTCCTCCAATTTCATGCGCATTGGGGTTCAACATCTGACTGTGGTTCAGAGCATACCATTGATGGAAAACGTTTCGCATCAGAGGTTAATTCACAACAACAACAAAAAACATTTCGAAAATTGAAAAACTGAATTTGAAAACGATTGAAACGTCACGTGATCATGATAATCAAGACATTCGTTGAAGATTCACTTTGTGTTCTGGAACTCCATGTACTCATCTCCAGCGGAAGCTCAGACACGAAGTGACGGATTAGCTGTTGTAGGAGTTTTTGTGGAAGTAGGATGAAAAATAGTTTTTCAAAATAAAAAAAAACATTCAAAGGAAGGAAATTATAATGCCGACTTTGCCTATGTGACTTCCCAAATCAGCGAGGCGTTGAACAATGATAACGTTGCCTACATCTCTAACGACTTCGATATGAACAAAATGATTCCTTCCGGTATTTCGCTAGTTCAAAATCATTCCGCAACAGAAAAATTATGTTGAAGGATCGGATTTGGTTCACTATACTGGTTCATTGACAACACCTCCTTACACGGAATGCGTAATGTGGACGGTGCTGTTAAATCCAGTGCAGATATCTTCTAATCAGGTAGATAGTGCAAGAATGCAAGTTCATTTCCTTCTTTAGCTATTCCATTTCCGCAAAATATGCTCAGACAATTGGAGAGAGTGTCAGCACCTGTATGGACGACAAACATTTTCTTCAAAATCATTCTAAAGATTGTGATGTTCACTAATAAATGATACGAATTGACCATGTATGGAGAGTGTTGAGGTAACTGTGTGGAGTATTAGATATGATGCCACCTTGTAGATAAAACATGTTTTTTCGGAGAGAGAAACTGCCGATAAAAGTGCTTTTCGCCCTCCAGACCTAAAGAGAAGAAAGCCAGTTGCTAGATACAACAACTACTTGTCTTTTCCTTTTTTAATAAAAAATTCTTTTTTCATTTGAAATTTAGGGAGTGAAGCCATCAATTATGTGTTTTATAACAATAACAAGTGTTGACATTCCATAATTAGATGTTTCCTCCTCTGACAGTTGAAAACCTCAAAAGCGCATTTCATTTCAAACTTTTTGCTACAGTAAAGTAAAATACAGAATGAAAGAGTTGTCGGACTCATATTATACTTGTTATCTCATAAATCTATCAACCATCAAAATCATCATCGTTGTAGGACCTTTTAAGAACATGAATGTGAGCTTTGATCAGAGACAACTCAGCCATGTACAGCCATTGTTAGCCATTCATATAGTTTAATTAAAAACTTGTTTGACACATTCTCAACGGAAACAATTCATATTCTGAAACTATTTTGATAAATCAGATTCATTTGCTGAAGTCTTGGAAAAGACTTCTTTGCGGTTTTTTTTCTCCTTCAGGGGAATCTCCATGCGAGATGATCTTCCGGCAAAGACAAAAGATGAAGAAGTGGGTATTGTCAATCTAGACTCTTCGATTCTTCAAGTCATTACATGGACTTTTTTTCTCTCAGAATTTCGATTGCTCATTTAAGATTTCCTGCTGACATATATCTTATTCAAAGTTATTTTTAAGTCTTTGGTCTTTTCGAATTACCTTATGAGCATATCATCATCAAATTCTTTCCATATCTCTAGTGCTTTAGATAGCTCTTCTTTGCTGTTATTCTGAAGACTCACAATCTCGACAAAAATTAATTACGCACATTTAGTAAATAGTTTATTACTCACACCTTTAGTAAACAGTTAGCGAAATAATCAATAATCTTTTTTTACTCATGTAAATTCAACCTCCTTTCATGATCAGAAATCTAAAAAAATTAATAGAAACAATTGGTGCAATAAAAGACGAGAATACCTGAAAATCGACTATGCTGAGATCATTTTTTCCATCAACGCCATAATTAGCCGAATGAAGATCAGACAGAAAGAAAATATGACGAAGCAAAGCAAATTGTGCCATTTGCTTGTCGTTCATCGTTGTATCAATTTTTCGTCGAAACCCAATAACTAAAATGTAAAATTTTTTAAATGTAACCCTTAAAGTTTGATTTACCGTCCTGAGTGGCGATATACAGACCAAATGTGGAAAGATGGCAATTTGGCAAGAAATGTACTCATAAATGATCTCATATATCTATCAACCATCAAAATCATCATCGTTGTAGGACCTTTTAAGAATTCAGCCATGTACAGCCATTGTTAGCCATTCATATAGTTTAATTAAAACTTGTTTGACACATTCGCAACGGAAACAATTCATATTCTGAAACTATTTTGATAAATCAGATTCATTCGCTGAAGTCTGTCTTTCTTAGAAAAGACTTCTTTGCAGTTTTTTTTCTCCGCAATCTTCAAAGATGATTTTGGAGACGATCAAAGAGGAGGAGACGACGAAATGAGAGGAAACAGAGAAGGGAAAACCAAAAACGTCTGATCATCTGCCAATCACTAACCGGTTTTCCAAGTCAAGAATTCGGCAAAGCCTGACCCCATATTACCAAATAAGCTAATTAGCTCAACAGCCGCAACTTTTGACATGGCAAAATGACGCTGCTACAAGAAGACGATGACGTTTCTCGTTCGTCAAATTTCCACTTCAGCCATTCTCCGTCAGAAAAAAAGGTCGAGGTGTCTGATAATTCCTGGAAAGATTGTATCTCCCAAGTTTATACATAGATGTGTCTTAATAATCTACTAGAAGACGGCGTTAGTCCCATTGATTCGAAGACTCGTTCCCTTTACGAAAATCAATTGAAAACAAATATCTTAACTTTTGGTAAGAAATTAGACATTTCTTCTCATGTTCAGTGCACATTCTCCTTTCTCCCCCCATCTCTTCCTTTTATGTATATTGAACTGATCATCAATTACCGAAGGTTGATTGCCGTCGATTATAACAACTTCATACTTTGCCATACACACAGTCTATCCTCAAACCCTTCCTGATTAGTCGTTTCTTCATTTTCATTTCAACTTAAGTCCTTTCTCTACATACAACCTAGTTATCTCCTTATACAGTCAATTAGTTACTACCACTCCACCATTTCCATAACACACTCACCCTTTCAAAACATATTCTCACATATGTGTTTTCAATTCGTCTTTTAGTATTCCTTTTCCTCTCTACAAAGTTCCCTCTTGTCTTCCTTCACCACCACCCTTTTCTCTCTTTCATCTATTCAATTCTCATTTCACCAATGTCGTCGTTTTGAACCGACAAGACCTGCCGACCGGTCTCGTCTATCACATCCGTATCACCAACAGTCTAGGAGCCGTGTCGTTTCAAATCTTTCTTTTCTCCTCCTCTCTCTCCCTCTTTCAATCTCTTCTTCTTCTCTCTCTCTCTTTATTTCGATGTCTCTCTAACCCACTCCATGGCGCATGTTTCAAGTAGATTTTGCTTTTTTGCAATTTCACGCAGGCCGACTTATTAATAATAATGACTCTCTTACTTGATTGTTAAAACATTGTATCAATTTTTTTTGAAAAACAATAAAGCGAAAACAAAAAAAGGAACCAAATTCCCAATCAGATGATTGCCATAGAGAAGCATTTCATAAACAAATCTTGAGATACTCCTGGGCCGTTGCACTCTTAACATTACATTCTCTCTAAATATTCAAAGAAAGATCTCTGATAGAGCAGAAAATGGTTGCAAGTCTCCCACACAAACGGCAATTCAACTGCCCATGATGTCATTCATACGCGATATAGCTCAAGCGTAGTCTTTTGTGTCCGCGATTATGATTCCGATCAAGACGTTCGATTTTGCAAAGCCATAGATTTTTGGAAATAAAAATCAATAAGAGGCTGAAGAAATGATTGCCTTGTTCGTATTAGTTAACGGTCTTTCTCCCCTCGTAAACTATTTTGCCGTGTTGATTGTTCTTCTTCATTTAACTAGCTAGATGTTCCATTCGATTCCACACTCTTCTGCCATTCATAAACACCCGTAATTGAATTGTAATGAATAATAAACATGTTAAGGTAAAAAGCACAAATGATATCCAATAGAATTTCTTCTTGGTTTCTGATTACTATTGTCATCACATTCTTCATTCCAATTACTTTACAAAATAATGAAGATGCTGAACAGGATGCAGTATTCCAGAATTTAAGACGACATCACATACGTGGACAAACTCACCGAAAACGGACACCCGTGTATGTTTCAACTTTTATATTTGTTAAATGAATTGACCCAACCAATGTAGTGTACAGCACAGTGGAATAGAAAGCATGAATATCATTATATTAAATATATTTCTTAAGATGTGTAAATGGCAAACCAGAAGGAGACAAATGTGCTTGTGAACAAGACTATGTAGGAAGACATTGTGAAAAGAAGAAGCATTGTGCTACGTTTCGCAGATACAGAAACGGATCGTAAGTCATGAAAAATAATCGCTCAAACCTTCTCTCGTCTCGCTTCTGAAAAACAACCATTCCTAAGCCGACAATATTTAAAATGAGATAAACACTCGGAAGCGGAAGAGACGTGTCTTCACGTGACTCTGCGTCTGCGCGCCAAAGAAAAAAATTTGAATTTTATTAATTTCAGCTGTCCTATCTGCGAGAATGGCTACACTGGAGAGTATTGTGAAGTATTAAATTGTGTTCACGGACACTTGAACGAAATCGCCACGGAATGTATTTGTGATAATCCTTATAGCGGTACATTCTGTGCAGATCTGAACACAAGCAAAGTGTATGGATTTTACAATAGAAAGGTAACAAGCTTAATCTGATTATTTGGGGAAGAAAAAACGTTTTTCAAGGTATATTGGTTAGGTCCACTTGGTGCTCTATCACTGATACCTATGTGTGCTTTATACTTGGGATGCGAATACATGGCACAGAAGCGTCAGGTATGTTCGCTCTCAAGAATGAATAGATTTTCATGGCTTCAGGTGAAACGTGTTGGACAAATGTTAGGCGGTCAGAATATTAATGTCAAAGACAAGACATTACAACATCTTCTCATGTCGTAGAAGTATTATAAGGCCAAAGCTTTAAAAAATGAAAATAATTCTCATACTTAAAGTAATACAGTATATGAGTCATCTTTCCTATTTCGTATGAGTTTCTTAAGCTAAGAAACTCTCGACGTTGTCCGACTGATCTTATCATGAGCTTAGAATCTTCAGCGTTTATAACATATCAGACTGAGTCCTCAGTTTTCACTTTCTTTTTTTCCTCAATGCTTCACTGTGTGAAAGTCTTATAATTGAAGAAATGCTATAGCATACTTTCTAATAAAAATTAGTATAAACTCATTTCGAATATCGTTTCTAGCTGTTACATGAATCATTAATGTTCAATCATAATCAATACATGAGGAGAGGAGGTTCAGCAATCCATGCTATCCAGAGAACGAATTGTGGCAACAATGTTCATTGTAAGTTGCAAAATGTTCAAAGAAAACCTCACACATCACATTACGAGAATTCAACTTAGAAAGGCCGTTAAAGAATACGAAATGAATCCAAAATATAAATAAACTCATTTCGTCCATTGATACGACCTGCCATCGTCCATTATTGCATTGACGTGAATAAAGTGCATGATTAGTTCAAAACTGATCGTCCCGCTCAAAAAACATCTCGACAACATTCGATACATTTCAATGGTACGCAATCCTGTCAGCACATTTGTTTGTAACAGCGGTTGTAGTGAGTTTTTTTTGTTTACGAGTTGAAATCAACTTCTTTAATTCAACCGTTTGTTCTACGTACACAATTAAGAAATGAATTTGTTGATGTTGTTACGTGAAGTACGTGAAGGACGTGAATGACGGGAAATATGTAAATTAAGTGGAATAGCGGAACGATC